TTTCCCCCTCCCTCTCTGCCTCCTTCCCTCCCTATCTCCTTCCTTTCTTTTTCTCACACTCTCTCTCCCCCTCTCCCTCTTCCTCTGTGAAGAATGACCTTAATATTTTGATGTGATTGTTTGATCTATATGTTACCCCTTATAGTAGGAACACTTGAACCAAAATCCTTAATTCCAGGCTCTTTTTTTATTTTTTATTTTATTTTTTTTTAAACTTCAGCTTCTCTTCAGTGCAACTACTGGCACAGAACTTGGTAAATGACAAGGTCCCTTTACATGCTAAGTTTGGGGCATGGTTCAGATAGCCACAGTAACAAAACCAGCTTGATACTAGTATATAAGAAACCTCAGACACACAGAGCAATTGGACAAGACAGACACCCCAGGATAAACTCACTCATCTACAGTCCCAGGTCTTTGGCATGGCAGGCAAATGCTCTATTACTCAGCTACATCCCAGGTACTGCTTAAAACTATTAAAACATTGTATTATGAGCAGTTGTTAAAGGTGCTTGCTGCTTTTAGAGATGACCTGAGTTTGGTTCCCAGCGTTCACATAGGTGGCTCACAACTGCCTGTCACTCCAGCTGTAGGGATATCAGCACCCTCTACAGGCCTTTGAGGGTACTCACACTCGTGCACAGATACATACTTAAAAATAAAATGCATCCTTAAGAAAATACAACACTTTATAAATTTCTCAGTTTCAACCTACCTTTTATAGCTAATGTAATCTCTTTAAAAAATTTTTGAGATTATATGTACAGAGGCTCTTCCAGTGTGCATTATCTGTGTACCATGTGTGTACAGTGTCTATAGAGGTCAGAAGTAGGCTTCAGATGGAGTGACAGATACTTGTGAGCTGCTATGTGGGTGCTGGGAATTGAACCTGGGTCCTCCTCAAGAGCAGCCAGTACTCTTAACTGCTGCACTATCTTCAGCATGCCCACATATTCTCAACAAAGGTGCTAGAAACAAGGAGAAATGACAGGTAAGTGTGGTGCTAGGGAAACAGGGTGTGTTCATGCAGAAGACCAAAATGTCCATCTCTCAGCCTGTGCAAAAAGCACCTGGTAATGGATCGAATACCCAAGTGCAGCTAGAAATAGTAAGAGAAAATGTAAAATTCAAGACACTGGTAAGGTGATACTGAAAAACAGTCCACACATGGCTTATGTCAGACTAACAGCTTCCAAATAGCAGAGAGCCACTAGGTGAGCAAAATCTACACAGAGAAGAGGACAAGATACACATCCACAGAGAACTGCCTGGAATCCAAATTTAGCCCATCGAGGTGTCAAATGTCTTTAATTCCAGTACTCAGGAATCAGAGGTAGATGGATCTCTGAGTTCCAGGTCAGTCTGGTCTACATATTGAATTCTAGACTAGCAAGGCTACACAGTGAGACCCTGTCTTTAAAAAAAAAAAAAAAAAAAAAGCTATGTTTAAAGTAGGCAAATGATCTAAATATGCCTTTGTGAAAAAAGAAATACCAGTGGCCCCAACGGTAGATGAGAACCAGTGTCATTAGGAAGGCCTTCGGGTCCAACCCTGTCTCTTCTGGGGATACAGAGAAAGGGTATCTGTGCATAACTGCCACATATTGTTAATACCCGTGGACAAGAGGAGACAGCTTTTTACCAAGGAAGCTGCAGACTTTACACAAGGCCAGGTGGTTTCCCTGAGTGCTGCCAAGAACGGCCAGCCCACACTGAGGCTTTGTCTGAGAGTCCCAGCACAACAGAAGGACTCTTCCTGGCTCTAGCTTCTGGCAGGAATCCACAAGCCCTCAACTCTGGCAGCTCTTTCTTTTCACATCTTAACCTGGAAGTGGCAGTGGCTTCCCGACTTTCTAATTTGTGAATGCCTTCCCGTTCTATTTTGCCTCGTTTATTCCATCACCAACATAGCAATCCAGTATGAAATTCCCAATAGTCCCACTTTCCTGAACAAACCCCCTGCTGATCCTGAGAACGAATTTAAAAACAGAAATAAAAGTCTTGGAGCAAAGGACTAGCACGGACTCATAGCTCTGAGCTCTGTAGCCCAGCACACGCAGTGACACCCTGCTCAGCGTCTAGCTGCCTAGTACTTACTACTCTATAGCTTCACAGTCCTGCACTTCATCATGCGTACCTTTCAGAATTTTTAGAAAGAACTTGACTCTTTTCATTTTATTGACACATACCAATTGTATGTTTTCCTGTTAATTGCATTAGCATATTCTATATAAGTGGTTTCAAGACATTGTCTGCATGCTACACTCTGCCATGTGGCAATACCTTTTTTTCAACATGGCAAGTTTGTTTTGCTTCTCTCTCGGTCTTCTCGAAATCCCGAGACTCCTCCCTTCTAGTTCAAATTCTCTTTTTGTCTGCAAGTCCTGCCTAACCTTATCCTGTTCAGCTGTTGGCCAGTCAGCTTCTCTATGAAACCAGTCACAGCGACCTATATTCACACAGTGTAAAGGAATGTTCCACATACCCTTCTGAATATGAGATTCAGTATAGAGGGTTTGTATCCCATTCATTATGTTTAGCACTGGACATGTGATTTCTTCTTGTTTCCTGTGGCATAAGTCTTCTATGACCGGAGAGGTCATGGTGTTAGGAATAAAGCATGTGGTGTACCTTGGTGGATTCCATGGCAGGCAAGGGTGACGGAGGTAGGGGACAAACATTCCAGGCAGACAGAGCTTAGTGAGAAGTTCTATTAGAAAGGGAAGGAGCAGGGAGAAGGAAAGAGAAAAGAGGGAAATGCAATGCTCCCAGTCCTAGTGAGTTTGGAGAGCAGCTTCTGCCCTAACAGCCAGAGCTGAGGTCTTCCATGCTGTGCTAACCTTTGACCTTGTTTCCCACTTCTGCCTTCCCTCCAGTGTCTTTCACTGCCCACAGCCATGGGTCAGTCTTCTTCCACACCTGATGCAAATGCCCACAATATGGCCTCCAGCTTTAATGCATTTTTCAAAACTTTCAAGATGGAGAGTAAAGTCATTTCTGAGGAGACCATCAATTCAATTGAGTTGTTTTTGAAGGAAGGGGACATCCAGAAGGCGATTTATGCAATCAACACTGCTTTGACAGACATTGAGAATGCCCCTCTGAGCATTGCAGTGACTGGGGAGACTGGGGCAGGAAAGTCTACTTTCATCAATGCCCTGCGGGGCATAGGGCATGAAGAGAGTGAATCAGCTCAGAGTGGCGTGGTGGAGACAACAATGTATAGAACGAAATATACCCACCCCAAGTTCCCTAATGTAACCATCTGGGATCTCCCTGGGGTCGGGTCAACTAACTTTAAACCAGAAGACTATCTGAAAAAAATGAATTTCCAGGAGTATGACTTTTTTCTTATCATCTCAGCTACTCGCTTTAAAGAGAATGACGCCCAACTGGCCAAAGCAATTAGAAAAATGAAAAAGAATTTCTATTTTGTTCGAACAAAAATTGATAGTGATTTGTGGAATCAGAAAAGATGTACACCCAAGACCTACAATAAGGAAAAACTCCTGAGGTTTATCCGAGAAAAATGTGTGGAGAAACTCCAGATGGCCGATGTCGCCTCCACTCGTGTGTTTTTGGTCTCTAGCGTTGAGGTAGCGAAGTTTGATTTTCCTCTCCTGGAGTCCACCCTCTTGAAGGAGCTGCCGGCACACAAGCGACACATCTTCATGCAGTGTGTCCCTAAGGTAACTGAGGCTGCTATTGATCGCAGGAAAGATGCCCTGAAACAGAAGATCTGGCTCGAGGCTCTGAAGTCTGGAGCATCGGCCACCATCCCTATGATGTCTTTCTTCAAGGACGAAGTCCAGGAGCTGGAGAAGACCCTGATCCACTACAGGTCTTGCTTTGGGCTGGATGACAAGTCACTGGAAAACATGGCCAGGGATTTGTCCCTGCCTGTGAAGGAGCTTGAGTTCACCCTGAAGTCACCCCATTTGCTGTCATGTGAGACAGATGAGTCTGTGGGGGATAAACTGATGAAATACCTGGAGAAAATATTTGCTGTCACCGGTGGATTCGTAGCCACTGGCCTTTACTTTAGAAAGAGTTACTACCTCCAAAATTATTTTCTTGATGTAGTGACTGATGATGCTAAAATTCTGCTTAAGAAAAAAGTTTTCATGAAGGAACATGAGGACTCTGAGTAAGGCTGCAAAGGCCACAGGGAAAAAATGAGGCAGCTGGCCTGGGACTTAGCTGACTTTAGTGCTTTCAAGACACTGGAGACTGGAAAGACGGCTTAGGGTGTTCCTGAAGTACTCTGGCCAGGCTGTGATGACTTTTAAACTTTATGACAACAATGTCATAGCAAAACTAAGATTCAGTGGTCAACTCTGAAATACACTAAGGAAACTGTATAAAAAGAGGAAATCAATGTGGATGCTGTGTATTATCATAAAAGTATTTAGCTTGCCTTACGTATATAGATTGTACACTAAAAACAGGTGAAAGGGAGGTCTTTCTTTTCGTGTGTGTGTGTGTGTGTGTGTGTGTGTGTGTTGGGTGTGTGTGAGACAGAGTCTCACTATGTAGCCCTGCCTGTCCTGGAATTCACTATGTAATTCAGGCTGCCCTTAAACTCACAGGCCTGCCTCTGCCTTCTGAGTGTTGGGATCAAAGGTGTGTGCCACCCCCCAGACAAAGGGAGGGTTCTTTCTTTGTATGAAATTTCCTTCAATAATTTAGATTATTCAGATCCTTAAACAGCCCCTTGAATGAAAAAAGAAAAGAAATAAAGAAGGAGGACATGACTTCTCCTAGGTATGGTGAAGGAGGTTTATTGTAGATGAAAAGGAGAGCATAGCAAGAGGCAGGGACATCTAGGAGAGTCCAGAGTGGATGTGACCTTGAGCCAGGCCATGTGAGGAGACGGGGGAGGGGAAGGGAGAGGGCAGACAGGGGAACCAAGTGTAGCAGCCAAGAGGGCAAAATGTCGTGGCCCGGCCTGATCTGACATGTTAAATAGACACCTCAGTTAGCCATTTGTCCTGTGTTTGAGTGCTAACACTCCCCATGGAGAGTCATGCACTGTTCACTGTAAATCAACTGGGTTCATTACTCTGCATGTTTTCCTCTGCTAGTCACAAAGCAAATACTGTCTCTTGAGATCAGGATGGCCCCCCACCCTTAAGAACTCCCCCCCCTGATGAACCCCAGCCCTGAGGACCCCAACTCTGAGGATTTCACCATAATCAATCTTGTAGAAGGAAAGATAAAATTAAAATATTAGCATTTTGCCAAACTTTAAAAACTTGTATATCCACCAAGTGGTGTATTTTTGCATGTCAACTCTGCCTCAATAAAATCAGAAAAAAAGGAAATGGATCTAGACTTTTTTTTTTACCCCATGTGTTAGCTTTCTGTTGCTGTGACAGGGTGGGGGCCTTG